AAGTAATCGATGTTTTTATTCTTGGAAAGCTTTCTTTCGAAATCCCTGGATCAGTTGCATTTGATTTCGGCGTCTTTTATTTTGGAAAGGTTGGACAAGTTCCGAAGGTGACCATACTCATTACTCTTCTTTGAAACCCTTTTTCTGCGAGCAGTGTCGCGCGAGTAGAGGCCAGAGCAAGACACGGGCGCCAGTCGATGCACAAACGATACGAGAAACGCTCGCATTGAAACAAACGGATAGTAACGCAGCTTGCTAGCTCGTGCGCGTCGAAACGTAACGAAACGATTTCGCTGATTATACTGCTTCCTTTTTGCTCGCAGTATCGTAAGTACGTTTGAACGATATTCACACAGTCGCTCGAGCCGCCTCTTTTTCTCGATTCTCTGTCGAATCTAGATCAATTGGAACCGATAATCGACATCGACATTCACTCGAGCGAATCGTTTCGATAACCTTAGAACGATCTCCCTCCTTTCGTTTGGTGCTAGCGTTAGATCTCTTTCATTGTTATATACATACGTTATCATCGATACACTCTATTTTCTTTTCTCACTCTCGATTCGGTACACTGATCTTGGCCCTAACCTTCTACCCTAATTAGATTGTCATAGATAGTTCGAGAATATTCCTAAACGAATCATCTTAGACACTTTTCTTTTGAATATTTACACGCTACAGTGGACACTGTGATTGTTCATCAATTTATAGTACTCGGTAAATGTCTTGGACTTCGACACTCGTACACGATAGCTTCGCTCCACGTTACGTTCGTGAAACAGGTACTCCCAATAAAGAAACATTCATCTTCACACGACACTGTTCTACAATTTATAAGAAGCTCACACGCTAAACGAACGATCAGCCATGACACGGTAGTATATGTACACACCGCTTAATGTTGCCTCCATAGCGATGTAAATTATCCCGTAACGATGGAACGAGGTAAGATACTAGTAGCTGATTCTCGCGAGTATGAGCTGCCACTTACGTAGGACATAAGTTTTCATTAGTGCACACCGTATATGTACGTACGTTCTGCTAGTCCTGTTTAGCGAATCCACGGTGCGGTCTCGATACTTTCGCCTCGGAACGGAATTGGCTCCGTTACTCCGAGATTCTCGGCAAACAATTCAATCAAAGGATTCGAGAACCCTTTGCACTCGAGAGGCGACTCTCAGTTGCCATTTGTTTGGACGCAGCAAAATTTAAAATGAAAAATTCAATATAAAATGTTGAATAAGGTATTAACACATGAAACAGAAATAAAACAATTCTGCCCCGTAGTTTGTGCAAGATGTTTCTTTCTGTAAGTTGCAAATAATATTGTTAATATCTTGTCAGAAAATAATGAATGTTTCTTACGAAAAATATTGTCGAGTGCAAAGGGTTAACTCTAAACGTACCGGTCAAACGACCGGCTTTTACATTTGATCGAACATTCTGTATTTCCTTTCGTTGATTTAACTTCATATCGATTCCTATACTGTCTAATTAATCACAGTTTTCAATTTTTATGTTTCCTTTCGTTCCTGTTCCCACTAAGAAATATCTGTCTTTTAATTTGTTTTCCTTCATTTTGTAACTAGTTATGCGACTGGTTACGACAGGAATAAATATATACGAAATGACGGTACGATTAGTGTTAACTACTGTAGGGAGATCACTTGATGACTAAGCCATGTGCTCATTTCTCATCTTTCTTATTATTCCTTGCCAATTTCAAATTCGTCGACACGTTCCGTGCCGACTCGATTTTTCGACTTTTTCCGTTCAATTAAGGCGTCCCACGCTTTGCAATTAAATTATTTTGCTCTTGACATACGCCTTACAATGTTTTCAATAGTACAAAGACCATAATTAACAAGAAAGGTGTAGAAATCAATGTTAATCCCTTCGCTACTACTGGTGACTATAGTCACCGACCACAAAAATGGAACCAAAAGTTAAGACAATATAAACAATGACAAAAATACGTCTATGGAAAAATGACGAACACATTTTTGTGAACACAAATCATTTTGCTTCTAAAAGCAGTGTCTCAACGGCGGTTTTGAGACAAAAGGTCCCCGAACGCTAAAAATCATCAATGACCTCAACCAAATCGAATTACTATAATCCATTCGATTAAACGATGATTTGAAAACTTCTCTATATCACAATTCAATCACATAAGTCTATATCATATTATTTTCATTTTGTAAGTCCATGCAACTTTGAAGTCATGCATCAGTATATTGGCATCTTGTTGATTTATTTCATTTTGCACTCAAAGTAGTGAATAAAATTAAGTAATCAGTTAACTTAAACTTATATACGCTTAGACGTGAAAGATTAACGTCATTGTATCTTGAAAGTTATAAAATATATCCGTTCGATGAAATTATTGAAACTATTGAATACGTTTTTAATTAGTATTCATATGTAGATATGTATTAATTTTGTACTGCATGTATTTTGTTATAATCATGAACAAAAATTCGGCCTACAGAGGGTCAACACGTTGAACGCCGCACGATTTCATAGAGCAAAGTACACAAAATGGAAAAAGTACAATATTAAATCATTCGACTCAATTCGATTATTATCATTGCACGTTCATCAAGCTGAATGTCACCGCAATGGATAGCATTATTTATAATATAGAAATGTTTGCGAATAATCATCGTTTAATTGAGTGAATTACAGCAATTCGATTTGCTTGGGGTCACCGGTGACACCCATGGCATTCAACGTGTCAATGTTCCCACTTTTGGCACGGTGATCCATTCTACGCGAGGGACTTCGCGACGAGGCTGTAGCGAAGGGGTTAAACGAGCATCATTGTAATACAGTTACGCGCAATCAATCTAAACAACAAACAAAACAAAGGCGTCAAGCAGTCTCCCAACAGTGCCCATCGAAGACGATCCCGAATCTATCGAGACCCTACCGCAGTCCTCTTAGCATCCGAGTAAATTGCTCCTCTCGATCACTCGCTAGCGTAACGAGAAACTACCGCCGAAGCTCGACGCCGTCGAAGGTGTCTCGTAGAGCAACCGCGAGCAATGTCGATGTCGGATTACCAAAGGGTATCCCGTAGGAGTCCCAATCAGCCAGAGCTGCGACACTGTTCGGGACACTTAGAGGAATTAGAGGCCTACCGAATCCCCTTGTACATAAATCACGTGCTTCAAAGTATGAATTTACGCTGCTGCTCGTAGCGGTCGCGCGGAAGTGCCGCTGACACTTCGATGGCCAACGATTAACGCGTCCCATTCGAATTTCCCGTATTCGACAGACCGCAGACGAGGGAACCAACGTCCACGTCCTCGGGAACGTCTCGTCTGACGGTGACGTCGGACACGTCCGCCCTGGCGACGGCCCTCCAGTCGGCGTTGAACGGAAGGACGGCGCCGACCAGGTCGCAGAGCCAACCCGTCGACCTGGCGGTGCCACCCACCGCGCAGCAGACGCACCTGCCACACGCCTGGCACAGCCAACCTGCCGCCTTCAGGAGAGGAGAGTTCAGGAGCGGGTGAGTTCACGGTTTTCTACGGAAATAACCGTTTGAGCGCCACGCGCCGCTTTCGCGCTCTGCAGATTTCATGTCGAGAAAACCCAGCGCATTCGAACGATACAAACAACTGACGGCGCAATTCCAGACGCATGTACGTCACGTCGCTACTTTTTTTGTGTATAAGTGATCCAAGTAATACATCTTGTATTTTGTCGTTACCTATTAGAAATTAATATATATTTACAATAGTATTAACCCTTAGCACTCCAGGTTGTTTTGCAATGTATCAGCAACTGCAACTAATTTTTATAGTATTCCTAGCGAAAATGGGGAATGCTATAACATTTCTTCGATCTTTTATTTTCCTTCTTAGTAGAAAATTTGGATGCGTGGAAAATCTAATAATTTTAGGGTAGTTTCTTTAAGATTCATTAACATATTTAATATTATAACTGGTGGGATATTGAAGCCTACAGAGTTCAAAGGGTTAACATAGATTAAGACAAGTGCTGTCGCTCTGCTTGGCTCTTCTCGACATGAAATAAAAGGAGCGCTATCGCGCTGTTCGGCTTTTTTCGACCGTGTTTCTTTGAAAACGAAATAAATTAAAAGCAAAATAATACACACACTCACACACTAAATGAAATTTTAATAGGAAATGGTACACACACGCTTTATTAAACCCTTGCCCTGTGATTTATTTCTCAACTGTGATCAACAGAACAACTTTGTCGTTAATAATTTATTAGGAAAAGAGAAAAATTCTATGTATATTGAAATGTTGATATTTCAGTGAGATCAAGTTTCCGTATTTGAAAGACTAAATCGTAAACAAATTATGTAATTACTCAAACTGCAAGAGACCAGCATCTAGTTCCCTTTATTTCTACTGTTTAAACAACTGATATATAACATAGCTTCATCTGCTAAAGGTTTCGTATATTTCGAAGAATTTTCGTCCTCAAAGGTTTAAATATCAAACTTTACAATTCTTCTGTCTTCTAACGATTAACCCTTTACACTCGAAAATTCTCCACCACAAATATACCATATTCCTCAATACAATATGGCCGACCTTCTTTGAAACGAACTACTAAGAAAACACATAAATTAAGAATCAAAGCTATATATTTCAATATTTCAATATTGTATAATTATTTCATGACAACTCACAATAAAACAATTCACAAATCAAACAACTCACACACTATTTATACACTGAGATACTCTTGTCTCACTCGCACACTTTCTAGAACATTCTTTCATCACCATGCATTAACTTCACGTATATTTGGAATATTCTAGATTCATAAAAAACGAACATTATTAACATAAAAATCAATATAGAGAAAATTAATTTAGTCTAGAATATTCCAATGCTTTGAGCATTTATTCAAAACGCGCTCACACACACAGTCCCGTCATTCATCTATTGCACACACATTCATCACTCATCAGTATATCTATCCTCACACTCAAACACATCCATTCCCACAGATTTTATAATTTTACTATATCGAATCAAGTGGTGACTGAGAGTCACCTTCCGAGTACAAAGGGTTACTGTTAACACATTGAGCGCCGGCCCCGTGAAGACGCGGGATTCTGAATCTACCGCTTGAGCGCCAGCCCCGCAATACTAACATTTTTGTTTTCTGTTTGTTATATGTAATAATCCACCAAAAAATAAAAAACTGTATTCTTTTTTCAATTATAAATTAAAAATTTCGATTTTGTTTCTATTTTTCATTTCCGTTAAATTGTATATGACGAATATGCAATTAAAATGTACTATTTTACGAAAATGTATAATGTTTTGAATATTTTCTTCGGCTACTCATTGATCAGATACAAGCGAATAGGCTGGCGTTTGAGCTTCAAGTGGCCGATACGTTGCCGGCGCTCATGCTTTAAATGTCTCAGGTCGCCGGCGCTCAATGTGTTAAAAAATAGGGATGCACGGAAAAAATAGTTTTTACGGTGGCGTAGTAGCATAAAGGTTGGAAAGCGCTTTCATCGTAAAACAATCTCATCGTAATTTACCATAAATCTCCTATACTCTAAAGAACAATCGAAACACAGGTACAGCTCGTTCAACAAGCGGTCGGAGCCTGAAGGCGACGACCCGTGGAGCTGCGTGGTGCCTGTTTCGGACCGAGGAAACGGCCAGCGTCCCAGGAGCAGCGAGTCGCGAAAGGAGCCAACGAATCACCGTGGTTCCAGCGACCTGGCGAGCAGTCAGCGTTCGGACACCAGACAACCCATCGCCCAGGAGGGCACGGGTCAGGCGTCTGGCCCACGGCAGGAGTCCTCGAGGCAGACCAGCGAGGACATGTCCTGGGAATTCACGATAAACGAGGCGCCAATCGCGAGATTGGAGTCTTTAGACGAGCTAGACCAGGACCACGGCAGTTAAGGGCTACGATCTCGCCGAGTTTCGAAGCAAATCTCATGGCTTGACGCGACGCGGCGCGAGGCGAGGCGTCGTCGAGCGGCCGATCATCGTATTCGGATGGCTGTGGACCCCTTCCGTTTCCCTGCGAACGAACCAGCGTGCGCGGCTCCGAGATATGTGAAACGCTCGTCGGCTCGATTTTCTTCTGAAGCCCTGGCGGTCCGATTCGTCCCGATCTCGATTCGTTGTGTATTCCATTTCGCGATGGCGTTCGCACAAAACTGTGAACTGCGCGGTACCGATGCTACTGGTTTTACTGTTTTCCTTTTGGTTTTCATTTCCCTTTGAATGCTGACTTTCTTATTTCTGTTTCATATTGAATGATCGATCATAACGAAGAAATCAACTTCGGTACTCCTCCGAGTATACAACACTCGTCTCCATGATTTTGCTTGTTCCTCAAAGCGCGCATGATCTTGAGAAGAAAATCGACCGACGGTCGTCCGAGCGACGAATTGTGAGCTCGAGGAACGAGAAGCCGAGGGGAAAAGTGTGAGAACGGAAGACAGGAGCGGCGTTTCTCGCGGAAACCCTTCGAGAAGCGCGTGTCTCGTGGAAAGACGCATTGAATCCGAGGCCCCCTTTTCGACGCTATCTCCTTAC